GCGGAGCGTTGTATCCAGGAAGGTATCATTGCCGACCAGTCCGAGCTGATCGAACCCACATTCTACCTGGAAGAAGAGGTTCGCCCGTGGTTGGTGGAATACCTTCGCGAACGCGTGGAAGCCAATCCCCGCTGGAGCCTGACGTAATCTCAATATCCACCTCCCGATCCAATCGCGAGGTGACGGGTATTACCTGCACATGACCATGCCCCGTATCCTAGGCCAACCTTCGGCGCAGCGCATAACGCTAGCCGACGGCCCAACCATCAAGATGGCTCATCTGCTGCTGCGCGCCGGCTTCGGCGCCACCCGCGACGAGATGGATCGTGCGTTGGCCAAAGGTTACGAAAACACCGTGGAGGAATTATTGCATCCCAGGATCAACCCGATCTGGAGATGGAAGACCTTATCCGAGCGCTACCACGTGGACCAAAACAGCCTGATGCTGCTGGAGAGTAGCCAAAGCTATTGGCTGTACCGCATCATCAACTCGCGGCGTCCCCTGGAAGAAAAGATCGCTTTGTTCTGGCACGGCGTGTTCGCAACGGCCTACGGCAAACTGAACCACGCCAAGGCGGTGGTCAACCAAACGCATACGTTCAGGCGGTATGGCCTCGGGAAGTTTTCCGACATCCTGCTGGCGCTCTCCAGAGACCCCGCCATGATCTTCTGGTTGGACAACAAGGACAACCATAAAGATGCTCCCAACGAGAATTACGGCCGCGAGTTGCTCGAACTGTTCTCGATGGGCATCGGCAATTATACGGAAGCGGACGTCAAATCAGCGGCCCGTGCCTTCACCGGTTGGACCATTGCGAACACCGATTACATGAGCATCCGGGCGAGCCGCGATTCATTCTGGCCCTACGGCCGCATCGATTGGCAGTTCCGTTACCGGGAAGAGGACCACGATGACACCGACAAAACCTTCCTGGGTCAATCCGGGGCGTTCAATGGGCGGGAGGTGATTGACATAATTGTCAGGCAACCCGCCACCGCCCGGTTCATCGCCGGCAAGTTGTACCAGTTCTTCGTGGCCGACCAACCGGACGCCGGCGCTATCGATCTCCTGGCTACCGAGTTCACCGACACCGGCGGAGACATCGGCGCCGTGTTGCGATGCCTGTTCCTGTCTGATTTCTTCGTAGCCGATGCGGTGCGACTGGCGCGCGTAAAAAGCCCCGCCGAATTGGTCGGATCCACCGCCCGCCTTGCCGGAAGCCATCGCTTCCCGGAATGGACCATCGTTAATCTCGCCATGGACGTCAATTTCATGGGCCAGGAAATCCTGAATCCTCCCACCGTGGAGGGTTGGCATTCGGGAATGGAATGGATCGATACCGGCAATCTTGTCGAGCGCATCAACGCGGCCGGCATTGAAATGCGCGATACCAGCCTCCCGGGGATCCGTTCAATAATCAATCGCGTTCAGGCGTCCAAACCCGTGCTGGCGCCCCGGGAGTTCGTCCTCGCCTGCCTCGACGCCGTGAGCATGTTCGAGGTGTCGGAGAACACCATGGAGAGTCTGGTGGCCTTGGCAGCGCCTTGGGGTGAGGTGCGTTTCGACCGCAGCGATGCCATAGGTTGCGCCGAGCAGAGGGTAACCGACATGCTTCAGCTGATCGTTGCGTCCCGGGAGTACCAGCTGGCCTAGGAGCCTCCCACCGCGATGACCATTCCCGACGTCATGTTCACCTACAGCCACACCGTCGGGTTCCTGGCGTATCAGGGGCGCGGTTTCATTCACCCGGTCGACTTGGCTCTCGGCGACCAGGGCCAGATGTTCGTGCTGAATCGCGGCGGCCCAGAAACCACTCTGCGCCTCAACCACAAGCGCGTCTGCGTTTGCACGGTAGACGAAGGCTACGTCGGAGAATGGGGAACCGGTGGCACCGAAGACGGTCAGTTCTGGTGGCCAAGCGGCATCGCACGCGACTCCGGTGGTCGTCTCTATATTACGGATGAGTCGCTGCAACGCGTTAACGTATTCGAACCCGACGGTACTTTCGTTCACCATTGGGGGCAATCGGGCGACACTCCAGGCAAATTGAACCGCCCGGCCGCCATCACAATCGCCCCCGACGACACCATCCTGATCAGCGATGCATTGAATCACCGCATCCAACGATTCTCCCTCGCCGGACAATTCATTGACGCATGGGGTCAATTTGGCACGCAGTCGGGTGAGTTCAACACGCCGTGGGGCCTGACCTGCGATGCAGACGGCAACGTGTATGTGGCTGACTGGCGTAACGACCGTGTACAGGGTTTCACCCCTACGGGGCGGTTCGTTGGTCAATGGGGAACGCCCGGCGACGGAAAGGGCCAATTGCGGCGCCCGGCTGCCGTGGCCGTCGATGCAGAAAATTATCTGTACGTCGCAGATTGGGGAAACGAACGCGTTCAGGTGTTTGCGCCGGACGGAGAAATTGCCGCCGTTTTGAGGGGCGACGCTACAACATCGTCCTGGGCCGAAGATTACCTGGCCGCCAACCCCGACGAGGCCGCAGCCCGTCTGGCTGCAGATCTGTCCCCGTCGGTATCTCCGTGGCGAGACACGCATCGGGAGATTCGGCCGGCGTGGAATCGCTATTCTGGGGCCCCACCTCGGTGAAAAACTGGACGATGACGGAAGGATCTACATCGTGGACTCCTGCCGCCATCGCGTTCAGATTTACCGCAAGCGGGCCCTGCCCGCAACCGCAGTTAGTGGTTAATTTCTGCAGTCAGGGGTTCTGTTCGATTGGGCGCCAAGTTAGTCTCGAACGTGTTGATGACCATCGACAGCATGGTGTAATTTCCCAGAATCAGGCTCAATTCTATAGTCCCCTGTTGCCCGAAAATCTCCAGCGCGCTCTGGTATCCGCCTCGGCTGACCTGGTGATTCCGTAAAATCTCCCGTCCCAGATTTATCACTGCTGATTCGTCGGGGGCCAACTCGGGCAACGGCTTCCCGTCCCGCAGCGCGTCCACAACGCCATCCGGTACGCCGGCGTCACGGGCTGACTTGGCATGAGAGTTCCAAATGTGCTGACAATCCATCTCCCGGGCTGCCACCAGCATCGCGAGTTCGGCCGACTTCAACGGTACGCTGGAATCGTTACGCAAGTACAGGTTCAGCGCGGTGGCGTGTTTGCTGGCCTCGGGGACGTGGGTCAAAACCGAACCGGGACCATAGGGCGCCACAGCTCCCGAACTCCCAACGATCTGGTCGAACGCGGCCTCCTGACCGGCGGGGATGCTTTCGCGCGTTGCTACAGGTAATCGAGCCATAATTTGCCTCCAGTTGTGGGTGGTTATCTCAAATCAGCGGTATGGTTTCTTGCCGGTCTTTTCTTCGAAAAGTTTCCAGGTGTTGTCGTTGAAGGGATAGTATTTCCCCGGGGAACATTGTTCCAGTTCAAGTTGCGCTTTGATGACGGCCTCTACTTCCTCCCGCTGGTGGGCAATCTCTATGACCTCGTTGGCTGTTGCCGCGGGCACTACTACCACGCCATCGTCATCTCCCACTATCGCGTCACCCGGTCGCACCAACACACCGCCACATTGGATGCAGTCGTTCACCTGCCAGGGCCAAAACTCAGCCGGACCCTGCTTGGCGGTGGCATTGGCGGCATAAACCGGAAACCCGTAACCCTTGAGGGTGTTGGTGTCCCGCACCGCCCCGTCGGTAACCAGGCCGCCAACTCCGCGCTGATAGAGTCGGTAAAACTTGATATCGCCGCCGATGCTGCTGTATGGCCACCCCATCGCATCGATCACCAAAACCTCGCCCGGCCCGCACAGTTCAAAAGCAACGTACTCGGCAGAGTCGGCACCCTTGGGCTTGTCTGCAGCCAAGTCTGGACGGTGGGGCACAAACCGGAGCGTTACCGCTCTCCCCGCCATGCTTTGGCCGGGTTGCAGCGGCTTTGCACCCTCGATCATGCTCATCGGCCAACCCATTACCCACAGCCCATCGATCAGCGTTTGGGTGGGAATAGTCTTCAGCGTAGCCAGCGTTTCATCCGACACGGCAGAGGCAGAGTTAGCAGTAGTCATCGGGGTCAAGAGTCCTTCGCGTTCCAGATTCGGGTGCTGGGGGCGGGTTGCATTGTAGCAGAAAAACAAGGCGGCCCCGTTGCCGGGGCCGCTTCGATAGTACGCTTGGTTGGTACTGCCCGGCTGTTTTACTCGGAAGGCCAGCCTTCTGCTTCTTCACCCGCGCTGAGCGCAGCCTGGATGGAAGCGGCGGCATCATCGGTAACCCAACCACCCCAGATATCGGCGTTGTTGTTCAGCCACCACATGGTAGTCGCTTTAACATCAGCATCAGGGTTAGCGTCCTGCCACCGGACGACGGACTTGTAGATGTCGATGTTGAAATCCCACTGGCGCAGCATTTCGAGAACGTCGGGAGCGCGGGCCGGCAGGTCGGGATATACTGCAATCAGGATGGTGGCGTCTTTGTACGCGCAAGCCTGGGTGGTGAACCAGCACTGGTCGCTGTAAGCCGGCTCCTCCAGGCGAACCAGGTCCAGCTTCAGGGCCGGGTCATTGGTGCCCCACTGGTAACCCAGCCAAGGTTCCTCGCGTTCATAAGCTCCGTACAAGTCGGCGTTCAGCGCCGCGCCATCGCCAGGGTTGATGATTTCAACGTGGTCGGACAGACCGTAGCCCTCGACCTGAGCGGCGTTCACGTCCTCGCAGGCCCAACCGATGATGCAGGATACCAGCCGCGCCTTATCGCCGGTTTCCGCCGTCTTGAACAGGTCTTTGTATTGTTGCTCCTTCAGGTCTTCAACACTGTCCAGGTCGGGATATTGCTCTTGCAAATAAGCGGGGATTACGAAGGCAGACTGCCAGTCACTACCCAGGCTCTTACCGACTGACAGCACCGCGCCGTCTTCTCTGGCCTTGTTCCAGGCTTCGTCCTGGTTGGGCAGCCAGATTTCCATCGTTACGTGGGTGTCGCCGTTCTGCAATCCCTGAAACAGGGGCAGCGTGGCGCCGAATTTTACGTCGGTCGGATAGCCGTAGCCCTTTTCAACGATGTATTGGGCGATGCGGTTCTGCAGCAATGCGCTGGACCAGTTGAGGTCTCCGAAGATGATGGTGTCTTTGGGCCCCTCCGGCGCCATCACTTGCACGATCCTGGTGACTTGAACCTGTTCACCGGGCACTTCAACAGTTACTTGGACCTGTTCGCCTGGCACTTCAACAGTTACTTGGACCTGTTCGCCTGGCACTTCAACAATCTTGGTTACTTCCACCGTCTCGGTAATGGTTTCAGGCGTTGCTGGCGAACAAGCCATGACGGCAAGCGCCGTTACTGCGGCTAACAGCGCCGATATGGCTAGTAGTCTGAATTTTGCAGGCAAGATGGGTTCCTCCCTTTTGGGTGATCTCAAGGCTACCGGGCAATCCCGGCGCCGGGGTAGTGGCGACAGTTATAACAGCCCGTGATACGGGTGTCAAACCTCCAACATACTGATTCAGGAAATGAGTGGCAAAACCACAGTTACTTTACGTACCATGTGATACACTTACGTATAATATCCCGCTTGAACACCACGATTTCGCTTAGCGTAACCAACGTGAGGTTGATCAAAGCCCTCCGGACAATGCTTCCTGACGGCTTCTCGCTACCGACTGCGTGAGGCGGTCGATTACGATAGCCATGAACACGATAGCCAACCCGGCGATTATCCCCTTGCCCACTTCGTTCTTTTGGATAGCCCGCAGCACGTTGTCACCCAGGCCGCCGGCCGCTACCATGCTTGCGATGGTTACCATTGACAGAGCGAGCATGGTAGTCTGGTTGATGCCGGCCATGATAGTGGGGAGCGCCATCGGCACTTGCACCTTCGAGAGAATCTGCAATGGCGAGGCCCCGAAAGACCGCGCCGCTTCCACCGTTTCCGGGGACACCTGCCGGATGCCCAGGTTGGTCAGCCGGATTACCGGCGGAACCGCGTAGATGATGGTGGCGAATATACCCGCCGGCTTGCCCAGCCCGAAGAACAGAATCCCCGGCAGCAGGTACACAAAGCTCGGCATGGTCTGCATCCCGTCCAGGATTGGGCGCAGAATGCGGTCCGCAGTCTGGTTGCGCGCGGCCAGCACGCCCAGCGGCAGCCCAACCGCCACCGACAACGCTACCGCCACTACCATCAACGCAATGGTGTCTATGGTGTTTTCCCAAAGCCCCATAAAGCCGATGTAGAGAAAAGCCACCGTCGCAAATATCATCAATGCCCAGCGTCCCACTGCAAAGGACGCCAGCGCCAGCGCCAGGACAGGACAACTGCTGGCCATGGCAGCCACTTCAGACCGGTTTCGATATAGAGCACAGGCACATACGTAACACCGTTCTTGATCCCTCCGAACAGCCATCGCCCCTCTTGTGTCAGCCATGTGGCTCCAACGTCAATGGCGCTTCCCGTAACGTTCCTAAGCGACCGGTCAAAAGTCGTCGTCCCGTCGGTCGACGTCGTTCGAGCCACCGTCGTCGGAAACTCCATCTCCGGCCCCCAGATCAGGAGGCTGGCAATCAACACGACCAGAACGGCCGCAATGCCGATTGACCATTTGTACAGTATTGGGATGTTCCCAAGTGTGAGCCGCGGTGTCGCACCCGGTGCGCTCGATGCAGTCTGGATCGATTCCGCCGCCCCGGTTTCAGGCTCATCTCTGGTTATTACTGCCATGATTTCCTCCCGTAATAGGCGTGCCGGATGAAGCGCCGGCGATACGGCTCAGGTGGTCAGGCCATTGCTATTTTCCTGAATCGTCCGCGTCAATATTTGTGGCACTTTCAACACGGGATTCGGCTATCAACGCGTTTTCGGCGGCGTTGGCCTCGTAATCGGCGTCAGCCGCAGAGGTTTCGGCCAGCGCCTCGGCCAGCGCGCTGCGGTGGACTTCACCAACCAAGACGTTGGCGTCATCCACAATGGGTATTGGGAAGTCGCTCGCCATCGCCATCGGAATCAAAGCGTCGAACGTGGTTGTCGGCGCCACCGCCGGATACTCGCGGTCGACAAAGCCCCAGGCCTGGTCGAATCGTTTTACGCCGGCGCGCACCGCCCGCTCCGCGTTGGTAATGGACAGCAACCCTATGTAGCGTTCCCGCATATCCACCACCCAGGCGGCGTCGCCGTCGCTGTTGCCGATGGTGTGCAGAGCCGCCCTCGGACCCTGGTGTCCCATGACGGTGGCCTTTGGGGTTACCATAACCTTGTTAGCTGTCAGCACGCTTTCCAGGCGAACGTCCTGGGTGAAATCTCCCACGTACTCGTCCTCGGGACGCAGCACAATGTCCTCGGGGGATCCGATTTGCGCTACCTGTCCGTCGTGCATAATCGCGATGCGGTCACCCAGCTTCAATGCCTCGTTCAGGTCATGCGTGATAAAAACGATGGTCTTTTGCAACTCAGATTGCAGGCGCAGGAGTTCATCCTGCATCTGGCGTCGGATCAGGGGATCCAACCCGCTGAACGGCTCGTCCATCAGCATGATGTCAGTTTCGACAGCCAAGGCGCGAGCCAGCCCAACCCGTTGCTGCATTCCCCCGGACAACTGCCGCGGATACGCCTCCTCCCAACCGGACAGGCCAACCAGTTCCAGGACTTCGCGCGTTCGGGAATAGCGCTCGTCTTTCTTCACGCCCTGCACTTCCAATCCCCATGCCGCGTTATCAATAACGTTCCGGTGGGGCATCAAGCCGTAATGTTGAAACACCATGGCGATTCCGCTGCGGCGGAACTCGATCAGGTTTTTCTCGGACATCTGGGTGATGTCATGGCCGTTGATAACGATCTCGCCGGCGGTCGGATCTATCAACCGGATCAGGCAGCGCACCATCGTGGATTTGCCGCTCCCCGACAACCCCATGATGACAAACGTCTCGCCCTTTTGGACGTCGAATGACACATCCTGCAGGCCAACGACATTGCCCAATTCGGATGGAAAAATGACTTGTCCTTGTCGGCGTATTCGGGATCCAAAACCTTCTCGGGATCTTTTCCGAATACTTTCCACACTGACCTGACCTTGATGTAAGGTTCTGGGTCAGATTCATTCGAGTGTGTCGACTGGCGTCAGACCGGCGACGTGGTTGATAGTCCGTAGCCATTTCAAGATCACCCCTAAGGCGCGAAATTGCGATGTATCCGGGGGCGTCTTTCACAATCTCATTACAGATTTCAACGCGTACCCCGGCCCTATCCCATGCCGTGTTTACGCATGGGGTGCGTTCGACTACCGTAGGCCCGGATGCCGGTTTTTGTCAACCCTGATGGAAGTTGGCAACGGCGTGGTCGACACCGGGCCACCTCACTGGAGCCAGGTTTTACCGCCGCCAGCGGATGTTGTACACTACTCCCAATCAACCACTGGTATCAACAACCAGGAGCGCCATCTCTGCGAAGGCGACGCTCAAGAATCTGTACCGAAAGGCAGAATACGCACGTGGCACAAATTACTGTAATCGGCACCGGATTGATCGGCACATCGTCTGGGGTTGGCGCTGCGTGCCTCGTCATTACGCAACCTGACCGTGGTGGGCACCGATTCGGAACATGCTTCCAGAGCGGGAGCCCAGCGACGCCAGGCCTTCGACCGCGTGGAAGGTAGGTTGGGAAACGCCATCCACGAAGCCGATGTTATCGTACTGGCCACGCCGGTCCTCGCCATGCGCGAACTTATGGAAGGCATGGCGCCCTACCTGCCGGAAGGCTGCGTCGTTACCGATGTCGGCAGCACCAAAACCCAGGTGCTCAAGTGGGCAGACGAGCTGTTGCCGGATTCTGTGGACTTCGTCGGCGGGCATCCCATGGCCGGCCGGGAAACTCCCGGCCCTGAAAACGCCGATGCCACGCTCTTCGCGGGTAAACCATACTGCCTGATCCCCAGCTCAAAGGCCAGTCAGCGCGCCGTGGGAGAAATCACCACGCTGGCGGAGGCGGTGGGTGCAGAACCCTACTTCATTGGCCTGGACGAGCACGATAGCTTCGTGGCTGCGGTAAGCCACCTTCCCTTCCTGGTGTCCACGGCGCTGGTGGGCTGCACCAGCAAATCGGCCAACTGGTCCGACATTGGGCAGCTGGCGTCGTCCGGTTACCGCGACATCACCCGGCTGGCGTCCGGCGACTCAACCATGCACCGGGACATTTGTGTCAGCAACGCCGAACCCATTGTTGCCTGGATCGATGCCTTCATTCGTGAACTATACGAGTATCGCAAACTACTGGACTCCGGGAGCGAACCCCCGGATATAGATGCGGTGATGACACTGTTTGAGGACGCCAGGGTTGCCCGCGCCAAGTTGATAGCCGGTGATGTCAATCCACGCTCGCGGGAAATCGATAGCGCCCCCGACTACCCCACGTTCACCAGTTCAATGGGTCAGATGTTCCTTGGGGGATTGGCCAACCGCGCCCGACGACTCATGATGCTGGAAAAGGACGACGACTCCAACCGCACCCGCCGGCGAGACGAAAAGCCGTAACCAGCAAGGGAGAGAATCGGTGACTGAAACTATAGTTAGCCCCCATTCTCTTGGTGGTTCGCTCGCGGTGCCGGGCGACAAATCCGTTTCGCACCGGTCGTTGATCCTCAACGCCATTGCGAAGGCGCCGCCACCGTAACTGGACTGTCCGACGGAGCCGATGTGCAGTCCACCGCTGCCTGCCTCAGGGCTATGGGCGTTGGAATCGAGTCCCTGGACGAACCGGGAAGTGTGCGTGTTTCCGGCTTAGGGCCACAACTGCAAGAACCCACCGACATGCTCGATGCCGGGCAACAGCGGCACCTCGATGCGATTGTTATCCGGACTGTTGGCGGGCCAGGAGTTCCTGTCGGTGCTCACCGGCGATGCCTCGTTGCGCACCCGACCCATGGGTCGCATCGTCCAGCCGCTGCAACAGATGGGCGCCTCCATCATGGGTCGCCACGGTGACACCCTCGCCCCGCTGGCGATTCGGGGCGGAAACCTGCGTCCCATCGAATACGACATGCCGGTGGCCAGCGCCCAGGTGAAATCGTGCCTGATGCTCGCCGGACTTTCCGCCACTGGCCCCACCGTGCTCCACCAACCAGCCCTGTCCCGCGACCATACAGAACGCATGATGGCCGCCATGGGGGCCCAGGTTAATTCGGACGGCCTGGCCCTCACGCTGATTCCCACCACCCTCAAAGCCGTCGACGTGGCGGTTCCCGGCGATATCTCCTCGGCGGCATTCTGGATGGTGGCCGGTCTGATCCACCCCAACGCCAGGGTTACCATCACCGGCGTAGGTCTCAACCCAAGCCGGGCCGGCATCATCGATGCGCTCCAAATGATGGGAGCCGGCGATTGCCTCCGGCTGGAAAACCAGCGCACCGAGGGAGGAGAGCCGGTCGCCGACGTCGTGGCGACTTCTGCCAGTTTGCAGGCCATCGAACTGGGCGGCGAGATTATTCCGATCATGATCGACGAGTTGCCTGTTTTGGCCGTAGCGGCCTGCTTCGCCCGCGGGCAAACCGTTTTCCGGGACGCGGCTGAACTCCGGGTGAAAGAATCCGACCGCATCGAAACAACCGTATCTGAACTCCGGCGCATGGGAGCTGACATTGACCCGCGCGAAGATGGCATGGTTATTCGGGGCGTTTCCAAGCTCACCGGCACGGACGTGGAGAGTCACGGCGACCATCGGTTGGCAATGTCGCTCGCGGTGGCGGGGTTGGCTGCGGCCGGAACAACAACGATTCACGGCTCCGAGGACGCGTCGGTTTCCTACCCGAATTTCTGGGAACATCTCAGGTCAATCACCAACGGATGATGCGGGACAACAGCGAGCTGCCACAAGCAGGCGCAGCGCCCCCGTTGCTCGTGGTGTTGTCTGGGCCGTCCGCCTCTGGCAAGGGTTCATTGGTGGCGGCGCTGCAGCAACTGGATCGCCCCTGGCACTTCGCCGTTACGGCCACTACGCGCCCGAAACGTCCCGGTGAAGTCGACGGCAGGGACTACATCTTCAAAGAAGTTTCAGAATTCATGCGAATGCGCGAGCGGGATGAGCTGCTGGAATGCGCCGAAGTGTATGGCCGTTGGTACGGTGTGCCCCGACAGCAGGTTCGGGATCCTATCATAGCCGGCAAAGATGTTATCCTTGAGATCGACGTACAAGGTGCGGGAACCATTCGAGAGCTTGCGCCGCAGGCACTCACGATTTTCGTGATGCCCGCTACCATGGCCTCCCTGCGAGATCGGCTGGCCCACCGCGGCACCGAAAACCCTGACGACATGGAACGTCGTTTGCGGGAGGCTGCCGTCGAACTCGAACGTATGGAAGAATTTGACTACCGTGTCGTCAATCGCGATGGCGAATTGGATGTTGCTGTCCGTGAAATCGACGCGATCATTTCTGCTGAAAAGTGCCGTGTAAACCCGCGGCTGGTCCAGATGCTGTAACCGGAGCCTGATATGACCGACTTGGCTGACCGACAATTGCCCCCGAATCCCGCCGACGCCGGTGAGCCGGCTGCGCTCCGTCCACGCCTGCCCGACTGGCTAAAGGTGCGTATGCCGGGTGGCCCGCGTTACATCGAACTCAAGCAGTTGATGCGCGATAGCCAGCTCCATACCGTGTGCGAAGAAGCCCACTGCCCCAACATCGGTGAATGCTGGGAGCGGTCGGCGGCAACGTTCATGATCCTGGGCGACATTTGTACACGAGCCTGCGCCTATTGCGCCGTAACCACTGGTCGGCCCGGCGCCCTGGATCTGGGCGAACCGTTCCGTCTGGCGGCAACCGTCAAACGCATGGGCCTGAAATACTGCGTCGTCACGTCGGTCAATCGCGACGACCTGGACGACGGTGGCGCTGCGATATTTGCCGCCTGCATCAAGCAGGTTCGTGCCGCCGTCCCCGACTGCAGACTGGAAGTTCTCATCCCCGATTTCGAAGGCGACGAGCTGGCTTTGCGGAAAGTTGTAAACGCAAAACCTCATGTGCTGAATCACAACATCGAATCGGTCGAGAGAGTATTTCGCCGCGTCCGACCCAGGGGCGATTACCGCCAGTCTCTCGATCTGCTGCAAAAGGTGAAAACCATCGACCCGAACATGGTCACCAAATCGGGCATCATCGTGGGTATGGGCGAAACCACGGACGAATTGCATCAGACCATGGCAGACCTCCGCAGCGTGGATTGCGACCTGTTGACGATAGGCCAGTATCTACGCCCGTCGATCAAGCACACTCGCATCGACCGATTCTACACCCCCGACGAATTCGATGCGCTACGTCAAATTGGGGAACAATTGGGCTTCAAACACGTCGCATCGGGGCCATTGGTTCGTTCGTCGTACCACGCCGATGAGCAGCACGAGGCGGCCGCGGTCGCGCATCAACGGGCATAATCCAGCCCGCTACCACCGAGGGGCGATCGCCCCATTCGCCCGCTTGGTGGTGCGCCCCAGCCAATCACCCGCTGCGTCCCCTA